TTCCCCACCCCTCCCCACCCCCCAGCCCCCCCACCTTAGCCTTGCCGGTGCTCTGCAAGATGTGCACCAACGCGCAGGCCACCTCCTCCTTGCTCTTGACGCTGAGCACGGGCTCCAAGACGGCGCAAAGCATCCGGTAATTGTTGGTGACATACTCGGCGAACTCCTTGTAGAGCTCCATGGGGAGGATGCTCATGGTCTGGAAGCGGCTCTTGACGCGGAGAGCCGGACAACCCGCCTTGCTCTTGCTGCCGCTGGGTTGGCTGAGTGGGTACCACTGCTCGGCGAAGTGCCGACCGGTGACACTGGCGATGGGGATGCTCACCATCCCTACGTAGTTACTCTTGTCCTTCTTGCGTTTCTTGTCGGTGTCCTTATAGAGGTGGAGGCGGATGGTGCGGACGGACGGCAGGTTGTTGAACTCAAAATGTTCTCCCCAGAAGACGTTGTCGGTGCGCGCCTTGCTGGTGGTGCGGGCGTAGAGCATGTCATCCAGGCACAGCTCGCAGTAGTAGCGTTTCTTGGGGGGAAGGTCTCGCGCCTCGATCACCCACAGCTTCAGGACATTGTCCACCCGCCGGCTGTTGTCCTGGGGAGGGGTGGGAGGGAGGGAGGTGAGCAGGGGACGTGGGGACAGCTGGGGGTGAGGACATCCCGGTGTGGGATGTGGAGTGTGGGGGAGCCCAGGGCGGTGGGAGAGACAGGGGCAGGGAGAGCTGGGGGTGGGGGCAGATGGGGACAGTGACCCTGGGGCAGAGGTGACACCAGGGGAAAACGCCAGCAAAGAGTGGCCACCAGGACCAGCGACCCCAGGGCACAGTGACCCCAAGGGCCAGGGTGACCCCTGGGGACATCACCACCAGCGACCACTTCCATCCCCCCCAGCTGACCATCCCCACCAGTTGACGAGCTCCATCCCTACCAGTTAACCACCCCCATACCCACCAGCTGACCATCCCCATCCCTACCAGCTGACCATCCCCATCCCTACCAGTTGACCGTCTTCATCCCCACCAGTTGACCATCCTCATCCTCACTCCTTGACCATCCCCATCCCTACCAGTTGACCACCCTCGCAGCGATGACACCCTCACCTTGTTGGGCTTCACCGCCCTTTGCAGGTTCTCAATCCATTTGTCCCTCTCGGCAGCCGAACGGCAGGCAAAGCACTTAGTCCCCGAGGCTGTGGTCACCTGCGGGTGATGGCCAATGAGTGACCAGATGCCACGGTGATGGCCCAGGAGGGTGATGAGAAGGGCCGGACCGTACCTCGAAGCAAAACTCCTGGCCCAAGATGCTGCTGTGCACCGCCTTGATGATGGAGTCCTCATCCAGGTTGAGCTCCAGCGCTTCGGCCGCGCTGCTGGGGCTCAGCAAGGACTCATGGGAGTGCGACTCCTTGAAGCTCTGCATCAGCCGGGCCCTGTGGGGACACGGGGGGGGGACGCTC